AAGGAAAAACAAAAAAACAAAAAAAACCTACAGCTAACATCATACTTAATGATGTTATAACTAGAAGCTCTCCTGCTAAGATCAGGAATAAGGCAAGAATATACCCTGATGGTTTGCAAACTGGCCCCCTTACATGGAAGGCAGGGAGAGACCAAAGAAAGAGGCAGATCACTCCAGATTGGTAGGTGGCAGGATGGCATTTTAAATAAGCAAGGGGATTTACGAGGCTTGTCTTGGGCAGCCACAAGACAAGTAGATCTCTGAACACACCCACCATTATCTTAAAAGTTTATACAGAGGACTTAACTGGGTTCAGTCATATATACCATCCAGATGGTCTCAACATCACATTACTATCTCAGGCTGCATACTTGGGTAGCTTCTAGCATGGGGAAGGCAAGCAGAACACACATTCCAAAGACAGGGGAGGAGGTGAGGAGCTTCTGATTGCCCAAGTACAGCTTACAGATTAACCAGTGGTCATGTCCTCTCAGTAATCTCTTCCAATATCCCCTCTCAACATCATACTGGAAGTCCTAGCTAATGCAATAAAAGAAAAGGAAATAAGTGTATACAGATCAGGAAGAAAGAAATAAAGCTTTCTTGGCTCATAGATTACACAATTGTTTATGTAGAAAATCTGAATGGGGCTTCCCTGGTGGTGCAGTGGTTGAGAATCCACCTGCCAATGTAGGGGACACAAGTTTGAGCCCTGGTCCAGGAAGATCCCACATGCCACGGAGCAACTAACCCCATGCGCCACAACTACTGAGCCTGTGCTCTAGAACTGGCAAGCCACAACTACTGTGCCTGCATGCTGCAAGTACTGAAGCCGGCGTGCCTAGAACCCGTGCTCCGCAACAAAAGAAACCACCACAATGAAAAGCCTGCGCACAGCAACAAAGAGTAGCCCCCATTAGCCGCAATTAGAGAAAGCCCGCGCGCAGCAACGAAGACCCAACACAGCCAAAAATAAATAAATAAAATAAAATAAATTTTAAAAAAAGAAAAAAGAAAATCTGAATGAATTGACCAAAAAACTACTGGAACTAATAAGTGATTATAGCAAGTTTGCATGATACAAGACTAATGCACAAAAGTCAATTGCTTTCCTATATACCAGCAATAAACAATTGGAATCTGAAATTAAAAATCATAATACCATTTACATTAGCACCCCCCAAAATGAAATAGGTATAATTAGGTATAATCTAACAAAATATGTAGAAGATCTATACAAGGACACCTATAAAACTCCGATAAAAGAAATCTAGGAAGAGCTAAATACATGGAGAGATATTCCATGTTCATGAATAGGAAGACTCAATATTGTCAAGGTGCCAGTCCTTCCTAACTTAATCTATAGAGTCAACACAATACCGACCGAAATCCAAGCAAGTTATTTTGTGGATATTGACAAACTGATTTCAAAGTTTATACAAAGAGGCAAAAGACCCAGAATAGCTAGCACAATATTGGAGAAGAACAAAGCTGAAAGACTGACACTACTTGACTTCAAGACTTCATTTAAAGATATAGTAATCAAGAGAGTATGATATTGGCAAAAGAATAAACAAATAGATCAATGGAAAGAAGAGAGAGTCCAGAAACAGACCCACACAAATATAGCCATGTAATCTTTGACAAAGGAACAAAGGCAATACAAAGGAGAAAAGAAAGTCTCTGACAAATGGTTCTGGAGCAACCAGACAGCCACATGCAAGAAAAATGAATCTAGGCACAGACCTTACACCTTTCACAAATATTAACTTGAAATGGATCTTAGACCTAAATATAAAACACAAAACCATAAAACTTTCAGATAACACAGGAGAAAAACTAGATGACCTTGAGTTTGGTGATGACATTTAGATACAACACCAAAGTCACAATTCATGCAAAAAGAACTGATAAGTTGGACTTCATTAAAATTAAAAACATCTGCTCTGAAAAAGACACTGTCAAGAGGCTGAGAAGACAAGCTACAGACTGGGAGAAAATATTTGCAAAAGACATAACTGATAAAGGACTGCTATCTAAAGTAAACGAAGAACTCTCAAAACTCAATGATTAAAAAAAGAACAAATCTGATTTAAAAATGAGCAAAAGATTGGAACAGACACTTCACCAAAGAAGATATACAGATGACAAATAAATATATAAAAAGATGCTTAACATCATATGCCATTAGGGAATTGCAAATTAAAACAAGTGAGATACCATTACGTACCTCTTAGAATGGCCAAATTTCAGAACACAGACACCATCAAATGCTGGTGAGGATGTGGAACAACAGGAACTCTCATTCATTGATGGCGGGAATATAGAATGGTGCATCCACTTTAGAAGACACTTTGGCAGTTTCTTACAAAACTAACCATACTCTTACCATAAGATCCAGCAATTGTGTTCCTTGCTATTTACCCACATGAGTTGAAAACTTATGTCCACGAAAAAACCTCACACAGGTATTTATGGCAGCTGTCTTAGTCCATTCAGGCTGCTATAACAGAATACCATACATAGACTGGGTAGATTATAAACAACAGAAATTTATTTCTCACAGCTTTGGAGGCTGGGAAGTCCAAAATCAAGGGATCAGTAGATTTGGTATCTAGTGAGTGTCCAATTCCTGGTTCCTAGACAGCCACCTTCTTGTTGCATCCTCACATGGTGAAGGGGCAAGGGAGCTCTCTGGGGTCTCTCTTATAAGGGCACTAATCCCATTCACTAGGGCTCTACTCTAATTACCTAATCACCTCACAAAGACCCCACCTCCAAATACCATCTTTAGGGATTAGGTTTCAACATATGAATTTTGGGGAGATACAAGCATTCAGGCTATAGCAGCAGCTTTATTCATAATTGCCCAAATTTGGAAACAACCAAGATGTCCTTTATTAGGTGAATAGATGAACTGTGGTACATCCAGACAATGGAATATTATTCAATGATAAAAAGAAATGAGCTATCAAATCATGAAAAAACATGGAGGTGGACTTCCCTGGTGGCTCAGTGGTTGACAGTCCGCCTGCCTATGCAGGGGACACGGGTTCGTGCCCCGGTCCAGGAAGATCCCACATGCCGCGGAGCGGCTGGGCCCATGAGCCATGGCCGCTGAGCCTGCGCATCCAGAGCCTGTGCTCCGCAACGGGAGAGGCCACAGAGGTGAGAGGCCCACGTACTGCAAAAAACAAAAACAAAAACATGGAGGTTTCTTAAATGCATATTACTAAGTGTAAGAAACCAATCTGAAAAGGCTACATACTGTATAGTTCCAACAATATGATATTCCAGAAAAGGTAAAACTATGGAAACACTGAAAAGATGAATGGTTGCCAGGGGAGAGGGAGGGATGAACAGGTGGAGCATAGAGGATTTTAGGGCAGCAAAAATGTTCTTTATGATACCATAATGGTGGATACGTATATATCACATATTTGTCAAAACCCATAGATTGTACACCACCGAGAATGAACTCTAATGTAAGCTATGGACTTTGGGTGATAATGATTTGTTAACATAGGTTCATCAGTTGTAGCAGATGTACTATTCTGGTAGGATATGGATAGTGCGGGAGGCTGTGCATGTGCGGGGGCAGGAGGTATATGGGAACTCACTGTACTTTCTGTTTAATTTGCTGTGAATCTAAAACTGCTTAAAATAGCCTATTTAAAAACAAACAAAAACAGGAAAAAACAAGTGACACCAGGGATATAAGATTGCTTTGTACCTGGCAAAATGCTACATACACATGAGGGTTATTATGGCTTGAAGAAGCAGGTGCCTGCACTTTGTGGGCACAGCATGTGGCATTTGCATTGATATGCTCAGAAAGAGAACATCTTTCGGAGCCGGTTTTTCTTTCTCTAAATAAAGTTTGTGTGCTAGAGGCCAAGGTTGACACTTTTTAGAGGTGACAGCCACTTTCCTGTCATTCTTCCTTCTGCCCTGACACACAGGTGTGTAAATGTCTCAGGAGGGGTAAACTTAAACTTTGTGAATTAACTCCTTAGAAATTATTAATGGCAGAACTGGCCTGAGGCCACTTCCCCTCTCTGGGCCTCAGTTTCCCCGCTTAAAAAAGAAAGTGGTTTTCGATGTTTTCTAAGACACTTTCCCTCTCTGAGCTTCTGTGATTCTTCTCTCAGTTTCTCCAATGAGCCAGGCTCTCTCTAGCTTGTAGTTCTTTGGACGTGTGGCTCCTTCCACCAGGACCACTGACCCCATTTGCCTGGTTTACTGCTTGCTCTTCTGTCTTTCTGGTTTCAGCACAGACATCACTTCCTTGGGGAATTCCTCTTGACCTCTCTAAATAGAATAAACTGCCCCTTCTCCATGCTCCCATAGCCCCCACTCAACCTCCCTCTCTGTACTTAATACACTAAATGGTAATTTTCTGTTTACTTGACCCTTCCCTGCTCTACACTGCACCCTGCCGAGAGCAGAGTGTTGTATTTATTACTCTACCCCCGGTGCTAAGTGGAGGCGCAGTTCCAGATTTCCCAGTTCTGTCTACCTGGAGAGCTTCCAGACCCAGATGCCTCCAGAAACTCTCAACCACCAGCTAGAAGCTGTGAGTGGGAAAAGCATCCTTCAGTAGGAAAGAACAATTTACGTTATTAAAAGACTACTTAACGTTAGAACTTACTTACAGCAGGGCCTTTCTAAAGAAACACAGAGTCCCTCTAAGTGTGACCTTTTAAAGTTTTTGTTTTTAAAATTTATCAGAGGGAGAATTTAAGATCTGAAGTTTCCCAGTCCAAGTATCTCTCAAAGGCTAAGGCAAAGAGTCAGAAATGATCATTAGAACAGACCTTTAGCACCTGGCTTGGAATTTTCCATTCCACTGACAGGAAGGCAAACACCTTCTGTCCTGGCACCTTCCTCATGTCCGGGTTGGCTGCTGCTACCCTGCACCTTTGTTCAGCTCCACCCCTTGTGGCCCGGCGGTTTCCGCTCTGCCCACCGGCCTCAGAGCCAGCTCTGGCTCTGCCATAATGGGGCTGCCCCTGCCAGGGCTGTGGCTGAAGAGGCTCTGGGTGCTGTTTCAGGTGGGCCTGCACGTGGCCATGGGCAAAGTGCTTCTGACACTGTTTCCCGGGAGAGTCAAGCAGAACATCCTGGCCATAAGTGAGAAGACTGGCGTGGCCAAGAATCCCCACTTCTCCTATGAAAACTGGATCCCCACTTTCTTCAGTACCCAGTATTTCTGGTTCATCCTGAAGGTCCGTTGGCAGCGACTGGAGGACATGACGGAGCAAGGGGGTCTAGCCCCAAACTGCCCCGTGGTCCGCCTGTCAGGACAGAGGTGCAACATCTGGGACTTCATGCAAGGTCAGGAGGCTGGTCCAAGCTTGAGAGGTGCTTGGATAGGGGTGCTTGATGGGGGTGGGCAGGTGGGTTGGAAAGTCTGAATGCTACTAATCCAGCTGCTTCTCTTCTGGCTTCTTGTCCTCTTCCCACTTCCTGAAACTAGCACCTCTCCTGGGTTCTGTTCTTCTAAGTGGCATCGTCCCCTTCCCAGGCAATCAAACCGCTAACCATCCACACCGGCTGTCATCTCCTTCAGCACCTCTCTTACTGCACAGTCACTCTGCCTGGGATGCTCTTCACAGCCGCCCCACCCTACCCCCCACCCCACACCTGGTCCACTCTCGCTCAGTGACACTTCCTAAGGCAAGCCAACCCCCAGTCCCCTGGCATACTCCCTCTTCTATGCTTAACATCCTAAACTTTTCTTTATCACACCCATTGTGGTTTGTAATTATGTGTGGGTATTTGATTAATGTCTGTCCCCTTCACTAGCCTGCAAGCTCTGTGCAGGTGGAGATCATGCCTCTAACTCACTGTTGGGTCCCCCTGGCTGCTGCTGGCTCATGGTAGTTGCTCAGTAAATATTTGTTCAAGATTCTCTCTCTCTCTCTCTCCCTCTCTCTCTCGCTTCCAGGCAAACCAGCTCTATTTGGGTTCTTAAAGGCCTCTCTGGTCAGTTTTCTCTTTTTGTCCTTCCTCTTCCCCGTCTTGCCCTCTCTTCCCACTGAACTTGTGGATGGCTGCCAGATTCCCCTTCCACAAGCACATCCCTGGATGACTGGTACCCCAGCTCACCAACCTTCAGCAGCCCCTATCTGCATTTGGGATGAAACCCAGGCTCAGCCTTGTGCTGAAGGTCCTCCCTGATCTGACTCCAGTTTTTCTTCCCAACTTCACCTGCAGGCTTCCCCTCAGGCCCACTGCCTCCAGATGAACTGCTGGTTCTTAACATCCCTTGTGCTTTCCCTTCTCTTTGCCTTTGCTGGTGTTGTTGGCCCTTCCCCTCTGTCACCAACATTCCTCATCATCAGGGTCCTGCTCTCATGCCTCCCCCTGTGAAGCCAGCTCAGATCCCTACACTGAGGCCCGCTCTCCCTCCCTTCTGAACTCATGGATCTCTGCCTGCACCTCTCCTGGACAGTGATCCTTCCTACCCAGCACCTGGCTACCGAAGCTCAAGTGTCATCCTTCTGCCCAGCGGGGAGGCTTGGGACAGGGCTGTGTCTGATTCATCTCTGAATTCCCAGGGTATAGACACAGCAGAGTAGAGAAGGTCCCTGAGGCAGCTGGCTAATCTAGTGATTTTCAAAGCGTGTTTTTTGGAACCCAAATCCCACACATGTGCTTTACTACATAGAGTTCCCTGGTCAAAATAGTGTGGGAAACACTGCACACTATCCTCCTGGAAGTTCATCGTGCACATGAACATATAAAAGCCTCCAAGACACCCTGAAGCTTAAAAACAAACAAAGCTTGAAAAACTCTGACTAATTTTCCTAACATACACATACAACTCCCCACTCTCCACCAGAGGAAAATCTTTTCATCATCATATTGGTTCCAAAGAACAACCTCTGGGAAATGCTGACCTGATCCAATGTTTTCATTTAAAAACGGAAATGGAGGAAACTGAGAGCAAAGGTTACAGGGCCAGTGAGAGACCAAGTCAGACCCAGAATCAGGGCTCTTCACCCTGTGTTTTCAATACACCTCAACAGACATTTGTGAGTGCTCCCTATGAGCCAGACCCTCAGCTAGATGCCAGGGACTCAGAGCTAGGAAAGAGCTTGCTGTTTTGCCCGAGGAATGTATGGTTCCATGGAATAGACACATGTAATAAACAAATCTGTACAGTTCCATGAGGCGGGCAGACAAAGGTATGAACTTTGCCTTCAGGGCTTGGAAGATTTCCTGGAGGAAGTGGCTTTGGAGTTAGGCCTTGAAGAATGAGTAAGATTTTTATAGCTTGAAAATAGTGTTTCAATCAGACGGAAGGGGAAGAGTTTTTTGCTCATGAATTTAAACCATTGTGCTGAAATGACCTCTATTTATTCAATAAACATTCACTAAGTGACCACTGATAATAAGAGCAATGAGAATAACAGCTAATCTTTACTGTGCGTCTACCTCGTGCCAAGCACTGTGATAGAACCAGGCCAATTTGCTGACTTTTGACGGTCTAGTGATCAGTTCCATGAAAGCCAACTTGCCTCACAGCCAGTTCACAGCATTCACTTGCTTATTTTAACTGTTTACTTTCCAGTGAGCCAGTGTACTTTTTTTTTTTTTTTTTTTTCCCGGTGTCCGTTTAAAAGACTTTTATATTTTTCTCTGCCCCCTGCCACTACACCTGAAACTGAAGATGGGGAGAGAAGGAGTCTGAGAGACAAAAGAAAACTCTATTTATAAAATAGAGTTGGCTTTCAGCACATTGGCCCAGAGTCCCCTGAAATAATAGATACTGACGACACAGAAATCAACACAACTGGAAGATCTCTTAACTCACAGAGGGAGATGATGGAGCGGGAGAGAGGACCCAGCAGTTCTGGGAGGAGTCGGGTGGGGTAGGAAGGTGGCCAGGGGAAGTTTTCCTGGAGAAGAGGATGGTGAGCTGATGGTCTAGGGACCGAAGCCTTGAGGTGGGTGAGGAAGAGGAGCGTGGTGACCGGAGCCGCGCAGAGGGGAGGAGCAGCAGAGGTCTGATATGTGGAGGGGCTTCAGTCAGTTTGGCAGAAGTGGGGTGTGGGAGGTATGAAGGGGTGAAGAATGAGGCTGGAGACATCATCAGGGATCAGAGCTTGTGGGGCCTCATGTGTCTTAGCAAAGAGGGTATCCTTTATCCTGTATTGGTGAGTTCTAGAAAGATTTTCAAGCAGGAAGTTAACATGATCAGTTCTGCTTATTAGAAAGACATCCTGTAAGTGTTTTGGAAACCCACCAGTTCACTAAAAAGCTCTGTTGTATGCTTTAGGTATAAATATGAACTCATTTTAGAGCCACAGACTGGAAAGTCTGGAAAACTCTTTACAGATAAGCTAAAGCAACCTTTACATTTTTCAGATGCAAAGGCCCAGGAAGGTAAAGGACTTGCTCAGAGTCACACAGAGGGTTCTTGTAGAGTGAGAACCAGACTTGAGCCTTAGGACTCTCAGCTAGTGTACATTCTGTTGTTGGATAAAACAACAGAGGCTCAGAGAAATTCCCAGCCACCTCCTATCCTCTGCATGTACGTGCACACACAAGACATACACACACTCTCAGACACACATGTGCCACAAAACATTGATTAACTGGCATGTTGAGGTAGAAGGTAAGTCCGGATGATTTCTTTTCTTGGAACCTAGCAGTTAATCTGAAACAGGATTTATTTCAGCCCCCATTTAAAATCTTCTAGAATCTCTCCAGGTATACTTATGAGGGGTCAACTATAAACTAGCTTTCTCTGCTGAGAGAGCCTGGCGTAGAGAGTTGATTTACTGGTTTGGGGGTCAACCAGTAAGTTAACCAATGGTGGTTCGAGTCTAGTGCTGCCACAGAGCCGTTTTCCCACTTATACAGGCAAACTGGACTTGACAGTCTTGCCTGATGTTCTTGAACTGGTGTCCTCTGCACTGTGGCCTGTGGACATGGGCAGGCTGCCAGCCCCCAGTACAGCCACCCACTTGCGCCCATCCTTCCTCTCTCTGCTACCAGGAAAGCAGTAAACTTTCCCTCAGAGTTTAAACTTTGCCCTCACTACTGATCACTGCACCCAGACACACTATAAATAATTAAACAAATGGCTCTGTTTCTTCCAGTGTCCTAACCAGTGGATGTTGAAATATTTTTATCCAATTAAGAACAAAATTCCAGACAGCTCATATTTTGCACAGGTCCTGACCTTAAATCTCCTCTGTTCTTATCTGAAGGGTGACTCCCTGGGGTCACTGGAGGCCAGTGGCCGGCCACTTGGCCATGACTGGCCTCTGAGCCTCTCCTGCTGTGACCTGGGCAAACCCTTCACATGGGTGAGGATGCGACCAACTGAGGCCCTCTCAATGCCTCCTAGGGCCTCCTATGAGGAAATCTGTGAGACAAGGACGAGGAGAACTTTGTATCTCCAGAGAAACTGGCCTGCTTCCTCTTCAGGTACTGAAAAATGAGGAATATATAAGTAATCATGTTTCTCCTTTTCCTTGGCCACCTGGAAACTCAGAGTCAAATATTAGCTCAGTTATAATGAATGCATGAGACCTGTTCTGTGCCTCTCAGAGCGCGATGGTTTTTTTACATTTTTATTTGATATTTTATTATCATATGTATAAATAAATAATTTTATTTATTATATGTAAAAGCTGCTTCAAATCCTTTGCAGAATGAGGTGAGGGAATAACTAACCCAATAAACCATGAGTAAGTTAAGATGCCCTCTACTCCCCATCCATCAACAAGTCCTGTCAGTTCTACCTTTTCCCCTTCCCCGCTGCACACAAACTAGCCCAGACTCCCATTATTTCTCATGTGGATTCCACCAACTCCCCCTAACTGCCTCCATTCTCACCCTCAGTCCTGTTGCCACTGAGCAACCAGACTGATCTTCAAGTGTAAGCTGGTCACTTTTCATCTCACAGCCTCTACTGTAGCAGTCAGAGTTCTGCCTTGCAAGCAACAGAAACTCACTCTGATTTTCCTAGTCATACACATTTACACACGTACAAAGTGTATTAGAAAGATGTCGCAGGCTCCCCAGAATCAACCACAGCTGGAGCACTGGGCCTGGACCATCTTTTAGCATCAACAGTTGGGCCTGGAAGCCGCTGTCACTGTGATTTCCATGGGAATTCGTCACCACTCTAGGATTCCACCATCCCTGACGGGGCACTACCACTGGGCCATGGATGAATTCTACCATCTCAGTAACTCCAGAATCAAAGAGCTATGTGAGAGAGTCCAATCAGCCTGGGTCACTGCCTGTGCCCTGGCTGCTGGGAGCGAGAATGGACCTGGCCCCACTGCCTTCTACAGAGCAAGGCTGGGTGCGCT